TGTTGGTTTAGTTTCTGCAAAATGGTGTTGGAAAAATCAGGGAACTCCACACGGAAAGAGTTGGTCCCTGGCTCCATTTCATTACAAGTTTTGATGACCTGGAAAAAGCAGAAAAAGACATGAAAGTTCGGCCATCTGAAATGGTTTGAATTTTCATAATGAGACCATTTCAAAAACACAATTTGTTTCGCACATTCTTCCAGATGGTACCAAGTGGGGTGAGAGAAAACATGCATGCTCCCAAGCACCAAGAGTAAACAATTTAGAAAAATACATAACTAAATAAATAATAATAGCCATAAAAACATAAAATGGAACCGTAATTCAAGCATCACAAGAAATAATACAAGCAGCAAGCTGCATTGCTTTTAAGTACTGTCATTTTTATTATGTGTTTTATTAAAATAAAAAGATTACATATAACCTAGTTGTGCACTATTTTGTAATTAATAACAAGTTACTAATGCTGCAATCCACCAGTCTAATGATTCTCAGAGACGAGCTTGGAAGAGCACCTAGAATCTTGCAGTCTGCTTAAAGTGTACCCGTTCTGGTACACATCACTTTAGTTTATTAGTAACTTAAATTTGATCTATACATTGTGGTAGGAAAATTGTACAGATAGGGAGAAGAAAACTTATTTAAAAATAGGTCCCTCCCAACCTGTTAATCAATTATTTTGCATAGTCACGATAGACCTATATGCTGAAGAATTGACTGACAGGTAGAGCATGAGAACCCTGTTACAGACCGAGGTTGCTATGGTTACTTCCTTCATTACGCACTTCGTTATCTGTATCAATTAATACCGGCTATGTGCAGTGTGAATGTGGTCTATTGCAGGAAAAGCAATATTTTCATTGCTCATATTCTAGTGACTGTCAGGAAGATGGCCACTAGAGTTAAACTCGTTTATAACTCTATTGTATACCCCACCTCCTCTAGACTGAAAGCTCATTTGAGCAGGGTCCATATATACCTATTGTTCCTGTAACATTTTGTTATTGCCTAATTTATTGTTAAATTTCCCCTCTTTTTTTAATATTGCAAAGCCCTGCGAAATAAGTTAGTGCTGTATAAATACCAATAATAATAATATTCGCTCAAATGGCTATAATTGGGAGCATTTGATTTGTGCAGCGTTTTGTCACGCATTTGCACTGGCCTCCCAATGGGGAAGCATTGAATTGGTGGAGATCATCATCATTGCTGATCTGAACCAAAGAGGAGGGGCGCGGGCGAGGAGCGCACCACACCGCAGGATGTAAGGCACGTAAAACTAATCTTACCTTCTAAACCCTTCCATCAGGGGGCAGCCAACTAGATAGGGAACATGCTTATTTTCCTAACACTATATAGTGCTCCTTAATGTTGAAAACTGATATATTTCCCACGATTCGAGACTCCTAACTAGCCCATGTGGGCACCAATACAATAATATAATGGACTGTGGATAATTAGCAGAGATTTCTTTTTCTTTTTTTTTTAAGTAACTATACTTCAAGATACTAAAATTCGCTATATTTTACCCTGTAATTTCGACTAATTTGTGGTTTCCTCTTTAAAGGACGGACTGCTAGCCAATGATATTATGACTTAGTCCTCTCTATCCAGTGTATAAACTGGAGTTAATTTTCTGATGGTTCATACTGGAACAACTTCTACAGGAATATGCACCCAATTCCCTGCTTCCCAAGTACCAACTGTATTTAAACACAGTTACATATCCTCCTTAATACAAATACACAA